AGCACACCACTATCCAAGGCCACACTGTTCTGTGTGTAACTTCTGAGCCCCGATTTGATTTGGATTCATTCCAAGCACAGAAAAAGGTCCAACAACATGTCCATCAAGTCGGTCACATTAAAACGCAGATGCATCATGAATATCAAGTTCGAATCCTTAGATTACAAACAAACAAACTCTGTCCGTTCAAAACTCACCTGTTTGCTCGGCCTGTGTAGAAGCTGCGGAGCCACTTTGGAAATATTCCTCATCAGTAGTGAGCCCTCCTCTTGAACAGTTCTACAAGATACTTTCTCTTTGTTTGTGTGCATTTGTGGAATTAGTTGGTAGATATGTTTCACTCTTTTTCTTTTATTTGTAGTCTGAACTTTTGTGAATACAGCGTCTGTGTGACTAAACAAGATTATTCTAAAGCATAAAAATTAAATTAAATAGAATTTCCAAATGTCTGTTATTGCAGAGCGCTGCGCTGGAAGCCACTAATGTGCCCGTGTTATCCCCTCACTTAAATGTGCTTCGCTCAGCTGAAAATGACTGAGATGACCAGAGGAAAAAAAACCTGCCAGACTCATTAATTATAATTTATGAGTCCCAGACCTTGATTTGATGGATCATTTCAAACACCTTTTAAAAATGTGCCTATAAACAGAGCAGATTTTTCAATACTCGTGGAAGTGACTGCACGGACGACCTTTGCAGAAAGCTCCATCGCAACTCTCCGCACACTTACACACGCACATTAAGGGGCTGACTTCATTTTGTATCCATCCTGGTTTGTTTGACCACGCTCTCATTTGAGAAGATTAATTGGCTGGCTCAGACCGGCTCAGCTCGACTTAACTAAATATTTAGGTTTTCGAGGTGCATATGGTCGGCTCCAGACCCCTCAGCGATGGTCTGTACTTGAAGCTCGTTTGTTTTTCCTCATCCCACGCAGCAATCACACCTTGGTCACGGCAAATTCCCGTCATGTCCACATACAGAGTAATACAAGAAAAACTACATTCCTGTATCATATGCAAGACGAACTCTCAGGGGAGGTATTCCATTGATTTCTTTTTTTTTTACTGCTTCATGTGCACTTCAATGACAACATGTACACTTAACTATTTGCTTACGAGTATGAGCCTGTGTCATTACAGCTTAACATCGCGGATCACAAGGAACGCGCTCCTGCTGAGACTAAACAATGATTGTCGGTGCGTCTGGCAAAGATTTTCAGTGTTTGTTTCAAAGGTGCATTTAAGAGGTTCTCCTCAAGAATCACGCGAGAGAAACACTGTAATTCTGACCCCAAAAATTACACTGCACCACATTCAGGTTGAGATTCAGCCTCTGCCTGTTAAGTACGAGTTACTATCAAAATATGCTGAGAGCAAGAATAATGTACGATCAGAAAATTACATTTAAATGTATTTTGACTAGAAATATCTAACACAACCTCATTTATTTGATTCATTTAACATTCAGTACGGTCAATCTACAATGCTGATGTGAATTATCAGTTATTTTATTCATATTAAACCGTTTGTGACAGTAGTTTGATTCCATACGTGTTTTTGTTGAGGTAAAAATCTAATTTTCAGGTGTATATTTCTGCCGAGAGAATATGAGGTTTTAATGGTTATTAAATGTTCATATGTTTCCTGCTCATTTCTACGGGCCTCCCTAAAATGAGCCCTTGCCCTTTGACCTTCGACCACCAAAATCTAATCGGTTAATCTGTGAGTTTAATTGAATATGTGTGATTCATTTAAAATAATTCCCTCTCGGTTCCTGAGGTATTAAATTCACAAGGCAAAACATGTATTGTGAGGAGGTCACAGTGACCTTTGACCTTTGGCTGCCAAAATAGAATCAGTCAATCCTTGAGTCCAAGTGAATGTTTGTGCCAAATTTAAAGAAATTCCCTCTGGGTGTTCTTGAGATATCGTGTTCACGTTCGTGAGACGGAGCGGTGGACCGACAACCTGAAAACTTCGTTTATTCATGTAATCCTGCTGACAAACAAACAACCAAACAATAAACAGATCAGAGGAAACAATAATGTTCCAAACGAATCACGATCCCGACACGTTACAGTTCCTGATTGATTCCCGCTGATCCTTTTTGTGCGTCCAGCTGTGATGGGAAGTTGTGAGAACTTGAGCAAAAATGTGCAGCGTTGACCTTTTAACATACAAAGTTCACTTTGTGTGTCAACATAGTACAGAACATTAAATAACTAGCACCATCTAGTGGTCAGAAGTCGATTCTGTAAATACAATTAAATAATAAAAGCTCACCTCTTTTTCTTTTCTCATTTTTACAGAATCAAACCATTTAAAAGGGACAAACTCAAATCCATAATACAGATGTTAATAGATACAGCAAATAAAATGTGGGTATATACGTCAACATAACTACTTGATTCTCTGAAATGGGAGGTTTTGTTTGTTAACTTAGTTTAGTTTGAATCAGAGATGAACTTTAAATGTCCTGAACATGATTCAAAACATAAAGTCAATGGAAATAAGATAAATGGTTTCATTATAAACAAGGTTATATTATAAACTATAAATAAATGTGATAATCACAAAACCTTTATCAATTTTATTAGACCTTCATTTAAAAATACCTCTCTGCAAAGATTCATGCCCTGACTTTAAAACGTCTGTTATCCAACAGCAGCAGCATTTCAAAGAGAGTTTCAAAGAGAAAACCAATAAAATAAAACACACAGCTTCATGTTTTTATGGCTGATGAATGCGGATATTCTGCAGATGTACGATAAAAAACTGTTGTGGATGGAGGGAACAACAGAAACCTTCGGAGCATAGCTCACAGATATTAATTTTTCAGTGGCATATTTCATCTCATTGGCAGGACACAGACTGCTCCATGCGGTCGCTCCAGTGAGTCAGCGGTCTGATCCTCCTCCAGACTCAAATAAAGGAGATACATTACTGAAAGTACAATTTAGAAATCCTCTCGTCTGCCCACGGAGACACTCTGTGCACTTTTTAGTGAATTGTGGAAATGACAGGGCAGAACACTGGGCTATTAGTCTAATTGGCCACAGGAGACTTTTTGTGGCAAGACAAGGAAAGAAATTCTTGATTAGTATTCTCGATTCTGGCAATGAAACAAAATGCAGGGGTGAGTATTTCTGGAGAGATAATAAAAAGGAAGAAGAATAACTGTAGCATGTACACTGGCCCCAGATACATAGAATTCTGTGTATATTTATTTTACATGTACGTAAACAGTAGTATCTTATGTGTATTCAGAAAAGGAAAAACACCAAAAACCTGTTTGTGAACATTCACAGATAAAATGCTGCATCGTGACGCAGCCAATTCTAGATTCCCTCCAAAATCCTTTCACTTTGCAGAGGCTGTGTTTTGGCTTTTTGTGATTTGTTTTATTCATTTGGTGAGAATGAGGATTGAAATCACAGAAAGTGTTTGTCCCACAGATGTGGGAGCTTTGTGTGTTGGCAGAAAATCCTCCTTGTCTCAACACTGAACCTGCGAGAACAAAAACAACACACCTGATGTTTGAAATGAAAATGAAAAGGTGCAGAGATAGAATTCTGAAAAACCGATGATTGCTGTAGAATAATCAGTCACTTATCTCAATTGTTTCAATGGTTTAAACTCAGAAATCTTAGCTGAAGTTATACATATTTATATAAATCTCTCTATATCTAACACATCCTTCTTCTTTCTGCAGAAATGTATCCCAGATTCCCTTGCATTGACCCAACACCAACAGAAGAGGGCAGTAGTAGCCCACCTTTAAACGCGCTCGTTAACCAAACAGAGAAAGTTTCTGTTTGAATCAAACTTCAGTGAATCTGCTGAAGCTTTTGTCACTTTTCATGGAGAACTGAGGGAAACTACGGCAGCGGAGCTGGAATCAAGTCATGTACTTCGCCAGCAAAATACACAAGATACGGGACCTGTTAGTGTTATTATATCTTTTTATAATTATTACTGATGGATTTACTCGAATGTAAACTGCATTTTATGCTATTCACACTTTGTATTGGATGATAGATTCTTCTGTAACATTATGAACACATTAATAGGATGACCGCGTGAGTTCTATGTAAAGTGTTAATGTGACACAGCTGTCACACAAATCTACTCTTTTCTTTTGCATTTGTTTCTTTTCTAAGCAGGATGACGCAAAAACTACACAACCGATTTCTATGAAATTTGGTGAAGGGGTGGGGCATGACCCAAGGAAGAACCCCACAAAATTTGGAGTGGATCCAGATAAATGGGCCAATGCAGGTACTGTTTTTTTTCTACTTTCTTTCTACGACTGCCCTTCTAGTTTGCCACTGAAGTGCAGTTTAACAAGTCGAGTCTTGTATAAATAGAAGAAGTATTAAGGTGCAGTGCTTGAGATAATGTGCTTTAATATTTGAATAATGGAGATCATATTGTGTGTTATTAGAGAAACCATATGGCCTTCAAACTGCAGATCTCTTGATTTATCTTCGATGCATTATTTAAGATATGATTCACCTCTTCCTTCCTCGCAGACACAAAATGAATTGAATCATAATTTTAAAAAGTTTGGACACTTTCTTTAATCTTGCAGAACTCTTGCAGGGTTCACGGCGTGTCATTGTTTTAAGTGTTTTCATATTTTATCAACCGAGCTGTGCAGCGTATTAAAATCATTGTCAGACCGGAGGGCTCCACTTACAGTAGCTAACATAAGGCTCATCTTGTCCGTGATGTGAAATCTGTTCCACAAGGTTTTATCTTTCATTTCAGGGTTATTTATGTAGAATCATCCACTTTGAGTGGTCGACTGTTAAACTGTCGATGTGGCTGCAACTCTCTCGGCAGCTCCCTCACTAAAAATTCTCGGGTCGACTCCAAGGTCAGGTTTAAGTGAGCGGGCTCCCTTTTTTAGAAGCAGAATCTCAATGAAATCGTGTGGAGTGTGAAAATGAAGCGGCCTCCTCCTATAGAGGGAAAACAAAAACAGCGGAGCCATGGTTAAAGATTACCAGCTTTCTCTTTTATTGAAAAATATAGCTGTTATTTCAAAGAAAGGAAAGTGAGAAAAGTAAATATATTAATATACTGTAAAACCAGAGTGAGGAGTAGAAAGAGAAAACAGTACATACTTGGCATAACACTACAGCCACTGAATAGAAAAAAAGAAAAACATTCTACAGCTGAACTTTGAGCCAGTTGTTTTTTTACAGTCCTTATCTTTTTTTCTTTTTTTTTGCCGCACACCAAACCACAGCTGTTTGGGTTATGGGAAACTTCAAAGTTGACCTGATGCAGAATGTATTTGCAAATTCCTTGATATGGTTTCTTCTGCCCTACTTAGGAGTTTCACACTGAGACAAACGCCAAATAGTTGAGACGATCTCAACACAGTATTTCAGAGGAATACTTCAGACTTTTCCATCATTCGCTATCGATCTCTTTCAAATTATAACTCCAATTTTAAAACACGCAAATACTATTTGGCCACAGAGTTAGTATTAAAGCCCTTAACATTCGTCCGGTTCCCACACTGGCACCACACAGTCTGCTGAGGGCAAAGATTGTTGACTGTAATAATCAATGGCACAACCTGTATTTACATGATTTGATTAAAACAACGGCAGACAAGGAGTGATTTTGTTTCTTTTCTTCAAGGATTGCAGCTGCCCCGACGCTCCGAGAACCACATATTTCACAATGGATCAAAAAGAGAAGGAAAAAGACAGCTTTTATTTGGCCCATGAAGCGACCTGACTCAAATCATACTGCATATTATCTACACAGAAAGGAAAAATAAACAAACTCCAACGTTCTCCTAACGTTACCCGAAAAAACGGTTAAAACATACTTGGCAATTTCCTCCAGATTGCTTTTCATTTCAGAACTTCTCACAACCTGTTCGTGTGAGAAAAAACAAAACACATCACCCGAAGGCAGAAAAGCTTGGCATCCGGATTCTGCGCACACACCCCGGCTTCTGCGCCACAACACGAAATCCAAAGCTCCCATTTTTCAAACGTGGCAATTAGCTTTTCTAACACAAAATAAAAAAGGTCAGACATTAATCACGGACACGGAAGAAAGATAGCGTACGCCTCGTTCGGCCTAATTTATAACTGAGGGTAACCCGGAGGAGACTACTGAACGAGCCTGGTTGTAAAAACCAACTAAACACCAGAGAAAAGCTGCCCAGCTGTCAGATGGTTGGCTGATTTAATCATCTCTTCCTACTGTTTGATTTGCGTTGTTTAGAGGAGGTGGTTATCATCACTTGCGGATCCGGTTTAGGAAATATCCCACCCCCCCCTCTGCCTCGAGGTCATACCTGACACACGACTGTTAAGTAGCTGCACTCTAATAACTCTCTGCTCATTCTGCTGCGTCCTCTCTCTGCCCTCAGAGACAAACATGGACACGTGTCGATTAAGACAGGATGTGTGTTGGACAGAGCGGCAACTATTAAATCACAGTTTGACCCTGTTTCTACTGCAGCGACTCCCTTACAAACATCTCCTACGTCTCTCTGCTGACCTGCTAATCCTACAACTTCAGTGACGACACAGACACACACAGTTTCCCCACAATCACCACGTCTGTCCTGTTTTGGCACAGGACACACAACACATACAAAACTTTTCTGACAATTCTTGTGTGATTTCGTGAATCTATCGTTACCTAATACAGCTTTACCATGACAGCGATCGCAGGAGTGATGCGTTTAGTCCTCGTAATGAAGTCCCACGGTGCCGGTGCCTATGCAAACAAGCCGACTCTCCCTGTGTGGTACCGTTACATTTCTGTACGAAATTTATCTCATCGGAAAAAAAGCCATAATTAAACGTTTTAAGACCTAGCAGTGCACATTAAGACTGATCCATCCCTTATGAGAGTTAATGAATAAATACCAAAGAATTTGCCAAAGAAAACAGCCGCAAAATAATAAACTACCTCAAATACAACAAGCTACTGTGAAGACCGACCTCCAGATACTATATGTACATAAAATATAGTAAAAAAAAAAAATAAGGCAGAACTCATCTCATTAATTCAATTGAACAAAAGTAATCACAACTTTCTCTATTTAGTGTCTATGCCAAAATATTCTTCTCGGCAAATGAAGCTTGGCGATCACTCCCACACGCCGGGATTACAAAGATATCGGAGTTTCAATTCTTGCTGTTTCCCTCAGAATGTGTAGAACAGATCCACAGTGAGCGTGTGACCCCGCACGTCCGTCTGCTCACCTCACACATCACGCTCCCAATGTGATATCCATGTGATTGACAGCTGGGAATATACTTCTCTAACCTCGTGGTTAACCTTTACTTCTTTAAATGAGTGAGCTCATAACCAGCGGCTCACTGATTTCTCTCCTCTTTGCAGATGCACAGTTGAGAGTTTACATTACAGAGTTTGACGACAGAAGCCGGTTTGTTTTTAAAACCGAATTTTGCAATAATAATAATAATAATAATAATAATAAGGGTCCAGAGTTTGATGGTGCAAAAAACTGCAACAAACAACAAACCCAAAACTTTCGAGAGTGCAACTTAGTGACCCAGTCTGCACTCTCAGCATGCAGTCAGCTCACATCTCCCTGCTACAGCACAGTGAATAAGGCGTAATTGGTTTTATTTATGACGTTGACAAAGTGTGCAGAGTTTGGGCCGATCTAAAAGAAGCTTAAAACAGATTTGGCCCTGCTTCTAAATCCTTCCCCTGCCTTTTTCATGTGTCATAGCCCCAACACCTTGTCATCTCGGTCAGTGTCATTGGAAAACTCTGTCTGGCCAGAGCAGGTGTGTCTACACTCGGATCTCATCATCGTCGTCGTCCATGAAGGTGAAATCTCTGTCCTCCTCCCCACGTGGCGAGCTGTACTTTGCACTGTCCGTGTCGCCGTCATGGAGGTGGTACTGAGCTTTCTCCCCTGTGACCGAGCCGGAGCTGGAAACAGAGCAGCTATCCATGTTGTGGTGGTTGCTCCTGGTGTGTAGCTCTGGGGTGTAGGGGTCCACCATGGCCTTCTCCTGGTACATGATGCGGGGTGGCCTCGCAGGGGCCTGCTCCTCCACATCATCATCATCTATGTGGGGTATGAGGGAGGGCGATCCGCGGCCCTCGCTGCTCTTGCCTTCCTCGTAGCCGAGGTCGTCCTCCTCCCAGCCTTTCTTTTCCATCACGCTCAAGATATCCCCCAGCATGGAGGGCCCCAAGTCGATGTGGAAGGACATCATAGACTCTGCGTGCTTCATGCCGCCTCCCTTGGGCATGGATGGAGGCAAATCTGTGAGTTCGCCAAAATTTCGCTCATCGAACTCTGCATCAAGCGTCGCCATCGCTGCTGCTCCGTTACTCGGCTTGGTTTCGATCTCTGTGAGCTTCTTCATTGGGCTGGAAGAAACACTCTTCGTCAGCTGGTTGCTTCTGTTAGTATCCTCGTCGTTTAGGTATGGTAAGGATATGGCGTTTTTCACATAGTTGGATGAGCCACCAGAGGGTGCCATCATATTGTATTCATACTTGTCTCCTCTGTTTACTGACTGAGAGCGCTTGCTGCTTCTGAAGGTGCGGGACAGCAACCCTGGTTTGGGCCCCGGGGAGCTTTGCTTTGTCTCTGGCTCCCTCGGAGGTTCCCCCGATCGGGTGCTAAGAAATGAAGTGTCCCCGAAGGCATCACCCCCTCTACCCACGTGCATCGTGTGGCGGAAGTCCCCCAGTGGAGCGCTAATCATCTCTGCGGTCAGGTCTGCCCGAGACCGCCGCTTTGATTGGTTGGAGTTGTTCACCAGCTGCTTGAGAATAGGCATGATGACGGCCTCTCGCTTGCAGGCAGAAGTCAAACCAGGTTGTGAAGGTGTACAGAGGAGTTCAGAGAGTTTTTCTGGCAGTTGTATAAGATCTTGTCAAATCAAGTATAATTCCAGGTGTTTAATGTGGGCAGCCATTCTGATCCTCGAGCTCGGATTTCATTCCACAGTTGGATCAACCTATGAAGAAGAAAGGAGAACATTAGCACCGATTCAAATCTTGTGTAAATCAGTTGCACCTTGGCAGACGATGTGGAAATTAATAACATCAGGCCAGAAAAATATTTATGCCCGAAAATAAAACACAGCACTTTAAATACCTCTCTACAGAGAGAAGTCTATTCGCTATCACCGACACATGACTTCCTCCGTCCTGATCTGCATCTGTATGGAAGCTTTTTTCCTTTGCAAGGCCTTCAAAGTGAAGCCTCGCTCGAGTGGTTTCAACACGGGCAAAAGCTGTATATCTCGAACTCTAAGGGCGTTATGTAACAGCAAAGAAAAACCTTCTGGCATAAAGTTCACGGCACCTTCGCGTTACTTTGACCAACTTATAATACCTCCAGTAAAGTTTACCAAGGCAAAATATGCTCCCATTCAAATCCCTTGGTACAATTCTTCCGATATATGTTTTTACGACCTCTTTCTGAAAAACTGGGCTGCTGTGCTGTCACATTTCAGTTTTTCAAGTGTCTGCGATCAATGCTGTGCTTTAGTTCCCATTTAGGCCCCTCACTGTTACATAACCACCAGGACACAGGATACTGGGAGCTGGAGCAGTTCAAGCTGGCAGGAATAAAAGAATGAAGAGAAACAGCATTTCTCCAGCTTGGCTCATCTTTCAGTGCGGCTCAGACCGTTCCGATCTGCTGCGTTCTGCTGTAAACCTCCTATCGTCAGGAGATAACATGTTTCAACTCCTACGTCTTTGTTTTTTCCCTGATTTGTGGGCCTATGAGTGTATAACCTTGAAGGCGACATTTGATCACCACCAACAGAATATGTTGTTTTGTCTATTGCTGCCTCTGTGTCTCACTTCTCGGCAAACTGATTTGGTGATAGCCAAAGATTTTTGTAATGCGAAGAAAGCAGGATGCTCGTGATAAAACTCAGGTCACTCTGATCCTGTACTTTCCTTGAGTATCTGTGACATTTCAACACTTGAGACCAAACTGTCCTCAAGTCACCAGTGACGCAAACCTCGAAACATGATCTCAAAACAGAAACTAATGGAGAAGCGATTTAAACACCCACTTACGTGCGTGCTGCAGTCCGCCAGCCCCATGTGTTACTGACATTTACAAGGGTTTCAATTGTTTTAGCCAGACAGCAGTCCCATCATTCTCAGTAGTTTCAAACCCACGCTCTATGCCTGTATGCGTAACCCCCCCCGTCCCCCGTCCCTCGTGAATGAATGGGGGCTTCACTCAACAATATTCCAGAGAAACGTCACCCATGAAAACATGTGCATCACTGACAAGAACCCATTCAATTGGAAAGGCAACTGTAGCACTAGAGGGAACAGAGAGGGGGTTTGATAGATGGAAAAAAAAACGCTACTGCTGCTTTTTGTTCGCTCCTCAGATCATCCGTGAAGAGAAATGAACTCTAGATTTCTTCTATCTATCTTTATTCAACAACTTCATTCAAGATGTCTTCAGCGGTTCTGGTGGTGCTAACGGGGGAGCTACACTGGAGAGTATTTAGGTTCGGGTCAGGGTCAGTCGTGTTGGCTGGGCTATCTATTTGTTGTGTTTTTACACTGCACATGCCTGTAATCGGGGAAATAAATCTGGCTCGGGTCGCGTTTGGACACATAATACAGACCGTGGTGTTGGGGTCGGACTATCACTGTTCTCTTGGGTTCGTACATAAAATTGCAAGCCGCTCTCTGGACCTTACATCAAGATCATAGCTTGGAAGAAATAAATGCCACTGAAGTCCCTCTGAGCACATTCATAGTTGTTGAAGTATGGTCTATCCATTAGCTGCCCATATCTTTTTTATGCCTGGAGTGGTTGCCAATTAGAACCGCTGCACAAAGGGCTGCTGAATGTGTGACTGACCACTCAAGACAACTCACCAGCTGATACGTCACTCCCCACTGCTCACAGTTTTGTATTTCTCTATGGCAACGTAAGAGCAGAGTGCCAGGCTACCGAGCAAGCTTCCTGTTTCTAAGCCTGACGGAGACACAGAAAGAAAGATCTGATCCCCTACATGGAGAGATCAGCTCATTCAGATGGATTAACCCTTCCTGGTGGTCACATGCAGGGCAAAAACACAATTGACACGGTGCTGTATGGCTGAGGGGGAATGCTTTTGATGTACCGTGTCAGTTGAAGACATTCAACCTCGGCATAAAAGAAGTCAGTGGGTGCTTAAATATCAAAAGGTGCAAACCTCACACCTTAAGTCATTCTAGGAAATGGCCCATTTTATGTCTGAGGGGGCCCTTTGGTGTTTGATGAGGAATAGTTTCAAAAAACCCCCTCAGGATCATCAAGACCCCATTATTGTGGGCATGACAAAAGATGAAGTATGACCTGCAGGCAGACCCGTCATATTCAGTTCTAGCCTTTCAGTACTTTAAAAAGAGATAAATCATGAACAATGGAAGTGTCACTTACATTGGGCTGTTTCAAAATCCAGTTTTGGAGATTATTTTAAAAGCCATAGAGTTATTACATGTTCAGCATTTAAACATACATTTTAATAATGAGGAAGAAATATGGAAAATGTAACCATGTTTCACCAAATCAAGCTCTTACATCTACTTAAGCCACTGCTGTTTATATCTTTTCAATACAACACCTGGCCAGATGCTGAATAATAAAAAAACACTACTAACAATTAAATACTGTGAAAAGGACTCTCTTCTCTAATTTTCTCTCACTCATCTACTTGCAACATGAGGAGTGAACGGCATTTTTTAGCAGGTAAATGTGAAAATTTGGTGTAAAAACTGCGCAACTACACTTAATTTTTACGTCTTTTTCTTTTATGCTGTTCTCTGAAGATTTTGAGACTTACTCAAATGTAGAGCCAATGTCATTATCATCTAATCATTATTATTCCTCTTATTCTACTTTCTATTTTGCTGCATGTTGTGTTTTCCTTCTATTATTATCAGATTTGTTTTACTGTATGAAGGATAATGTACAGGATGACTTATTATGAATAAATGAAAGTAGTGTCTGAACAAATTCTCTCTGTCCTGGGTTATAAATTCTGCCAAAGTCATCGAGATGACCAGGGTTTCCAGTTTGGCCTTTAGCACCCATATAGTTCACACCCTCCCAGTTCAGCTCGCACTAAAACTTCCCTCTCAGCACAATTTTTACAGGCTGGGCTAAACAGACAAACAGGTCACACACCCTGACCACAGCGACAACACAACATGCAATATGTTTGGGTTGGAGCACTAAGTATACCCAGCGAGGTAAAGCATCATCTTGCTTGTTATTGTTGAGAACTACTGCCTCAGTCATTGTGCCAACCAGCGACGAAGCCTTTATGTAACCGAGCGCTCAAAGTGCCACATGACTCCAGCTCAAACTGAGACAAGTGGTGACAGGGCCATGAATGATTAAGAGCATCTCATGTCGCCGGAAGACTGATGCGCGCAGAATGACATAACAACCGCCGTGCTCATCAGCGTTCAGTCTCGCTCTTGTAATCCCGTGGATCACAGGCGCCACACAGTCCTCGGCTATCCCATTCCACTTTGTCTGCTTCTACTCAATGAACAGAGCAAAGAGGCTTTGGAGGGCCCATCCAATCACAGCCCGCCTGCTGCCAAGTTAAACCATCAGGCACAGACTGCAAGAGTTTCTGGCTTTTATTTTTGGCTGCATTTACATTTTTAAAACAGAGACAGAAAAAGAGTTGATCATTTATTAACAAGATGGATGCCTCCATGCAAATGTTACACAGAGTCAGGTAAACTTAAAAATGGAGATTGTAATTATTGTCTGGCAGGTTCATTCGATAGCTACAGGATGAAATGTGAATGTAACCCAGAAAAATATGCTTAAAGAAACATATGATTCATCATTTTAAAAAGGTGCATGTACACAACAGTTTGACATTAAAGTCGTGTTAGCATATTCAATTCCTTCTAAATTTTTCACTTCAGATTATTTTACATAAAACTCTTGACTTATCATGAGAAAAAAGTCCTCATTTGTCCATTTCAAAGTCCTAACATTGAACACAGAGACTGCTGTGTGAGCAATAAGAAAAGTCCTGCTTTGTTTAACCTTGAACTAGCCTGAAGCTCCTCCATTGTTCACTCCCATTGTCAGCAACATTGATATGCAAATGAATATACGAGTTACCCAGCGGCATCTATGACATTGCTAATCAATTAATCAATGGGGCTGCATAAGAATAGAAAGTTCTAAACTCTGACAAAAAAGGTCGGCAAACTTAATTTGCAAGACCCGCAAGCTCAAGCCAAAACATCTGATTCCCACGGGGGGCTGGGGAGGTTGGTGGTTTCAAAAACACTGAAATAATATGATATTCTTTCCCTCATGAAATCTTTTGCGACAGTCCAACACAGAAGCACAGAGGGAAAACACTTTAGAGATTTAAAGATTTATTTACGCAGCCTTTACGTGTGAAAATAGATACATCCATTATAAGCGTGTAAACGTTACTGCCCTCATACTTCCATGCGTCCTTTACGTTAAAGTGATTAAGCAAAACATCGATGACGCTTCTAATGTGCAACAGGCGACAACTGGTGAAAAAGCTGTGACACGCACGAAGAAGACACAGACGAAGGTGTCAAGACAGTTTGTGACGACCTGGATTTCTAAGAACATTATACCACAAGGTCAGCTGGGTAAGGTATGTAGAAACTGCAGAGCGTCTCTCTGCAACATTTGCGCTCACACATGCACCTCCTCCAGAGAAAACACAGAGGATCTACAGAGTCTAGTGAATGTGTGAAAGCAGCTCAAGTGTCTGAATGTTCCCTCCAGTCCAGCACATGCTCACCGTCCTTAACTCGCTGCATAATGGATGAATAAATGTGCTGCTAATTAACCTCAGCCTTGCTTCTCTCTCACCTGAAACACTCGAATCTGAAGGTCGAGGAAAGTGTGGCTGATACAGTAACGTTACACTTTTATAAAAGTGCACTGATCTGTTCCCCAGCAACAATATCGCGG